TGTGGCTCTCTGCTCTTCCTCTCTGAATGAAGCTGTGGGGACGTGACCTACACTAATTTTTCCAGTTATTGCGATTTAAGTCATTCAAGTCCAGTGAACAGCTTGAAATGGTACAAAGTGTTGAACTGCCAGAGGTTAGAAAAGGTAAGGTTACCCCAAACAGTAAAATAACTGCAAACAAAGTCGAGGTGTCAGTGAGTCCAGTTTCCTTCTGCACTCAGAAACAAAGTGTGACAGGAAGAGGTCTGCAGACCCAAAGACACGACTGAGTCAGAGGACAAGTTTCTGAGAGTTAACAGCTGTGTGACGGCGGCTCACAGGACAACAGCTTCAAGCATAACAGTGGTTATAGTGAGCAAGTCTCAGCTTGAACTGTGAAGAGAAGACTTCGAGCTGCAGGTAGAACGCCAGACGTCAGAATAAGACAAAGAGGTATTATGGACTAAATAATCAAAGCTTGAAATCTTCGGTTCGTCACGCAGGAGCTTTGTACGCCGTCAAGTAGGTGAAAGCTCCACAGTGTGTGGCATCAACTGTCAAACATGGAGGAGGAAGTGTGATGGTCTGGGGCTGTTTGCTGATCCAGCACCGTGCAGCACCCTCTGTTCGGTCAGGGCTTCATCCTACAGCAGGAAAATGACCCCAAACATAAGACCAAGCTGTGCCAGAACTACCTCAGGATCAAAAACAAGATGGTGAGCTTGAAAACACGGAGTGTTCAGCACAGCCTCCAGACTGAAACGCCATCGAGCTGGTTTGGGATGAACTGGACAGAAGAGTGAAAGCAAAGCAGCCTACAAAGGTCCACATTTATGGGAACTTCTGCTACAGATATGGGAGAAGATTTGATTTCTGTTGAAGACAGAAGCCACGACTGTGTTCAGCTGTTATATCTGCCAAAGGAGGCTACTCTGATGAGTCAAAGGTTTAGAAAACATTTCTGTAAGATGATTCAATGATTTCTTTTTTAACTCCAATTACTTATCTGTGATATGCTTTGATTTCAGTGCAATGAGACATCAAACTGCACAATTTGCTGTTAAAAAAACTGGAAAATTGGGGTTTTCTGAATGTCTGAATGACTCACAGCTGTCATTTGAACACTGATGTAGCCACAGTGGGACTGAAACAAACGGATTATTTAATATTAGAAATGTTGTATGTTTCTGTGTCCTGTAGCAGAAGAAGCGGAGCACTCAAACAAATCAGAGACCAACACCAAAGATGGCGCTGTGGGGCTCTTCTCTGAGGACGTGGAAACCATCCAGATCAACACTGACGTGTACACGGAGGGCGACGGCACTTTCACTCAGGACACCTGTCTTATTGGTGAGGACGGCGGTGTCGGAGTTCCCCAGCAGGGTCTGCAGCCCTTCCGGCAGCCTAAGAAGAGGAGGCTACACGGGGGCGACCCGTGGCGGCTGCGTCTGGACTATCTGGTGGCCTACGGGCCTCAAGGCCAGGGCATGTTCTGTATGGTGTGTTCTCAGGTCCTGCATGAAACCAAGGTTAGCAGCTTCCGCCGCCACATCCAGGAATGTCACCCGGAGACCACAACCCTGAGCCGACAGGAAAGGGAAGCCATGGCTGCAGCCTGGACCAAAGATTACCCCAGTGAAGGCATGCAGATCCAAGATGGTGAGAAGCTTTCAGCACTG